GACCAGGGACTGAAACATGAAGCCCAAATCTTTTCTCCCTTAAGGTGTTTCTTTTGGTCATTTGTCACAGGAAAAAATATCAACTAATACAGAAAGTAAAACTTGGAAAATATCTTCACAAAATTTATGCTATCACAACAGGCTCCACCAATTTTCTCACCTAAAAAGAAAGGTTGAGAAGATAATCCTAAACACAGACAATAACTTTTATTTTGGTTTTTTTTTTTTTCGAGACAGGGTTTCTCTGTGGCTTTGGAGGCTGTCCTGGAACTCACTTTGTAGACCAGGCTGGCCTCGAACTCACAGAGATCCACCTGCCTCTGCCTCCCAAGTGCTGGGATTAAAGGCGTGCGCCACCAACGCCCGGCCAGACAGTAACTTTTTTGGTTCTGTTTTGCCATGTAGCCCTGGGTGGCTTAGAACTAGCTATGTAGACCTAACTCCCAAATATCCACCTGTGTCTCATAAGTGTTGGAACTAAAGTTGTGTGCTACTATGCCAGGCATGTAGAAATTTAAACATACTTATTACATTTACTATTTATGTAACATGTGCCCATGTGTGGGTCAGAGGGCAACCTGTGGGAGTTGGTTCTTTCCACCATGTTGGTCCTAGGAATCAAACTCAGGTTTTTCAAGGCAGGAGTGTATGTTGGTTTGCAACTTCTGATCCGCATGGTTTGGCCTCTCCAGTGCTGGGATTATAAGTATATTGGTTCCAAGTTCTTCATGTACCTAAATAATTTCTAGTTCACTTTTGTTTGTTTTTCAAGACAGGGTTTCTCTGTGAAACAGTCCTGGATGTCCAGGAACTCACTCTATAGAAAATGTTGGCTTCAAACTCAGAGATCCACCTCCCTCTGCCTCCCAAGTGCTAGGATTAAAGGTGTGCCCCACCACCACCCAGCTCACTTTCTTATAGTGTACCAAGAACCCCCAAAAAAGACATACAGTAGACAGCTTATGCCACCTCCATGTAAAAGAATATGGAGAACATGGCCTAAGAACAGAGAGAAATTCATGGCACCTCGAGGTAGCCTATGTTCAAACCTTGTGTCAGTTACTACCAGTTACTGGATGGCACAACTGTGGTGGCCCATGATATATGCTCACTATACTGCCATTCTGGAGCCTCCCACAAATCAAGGACTTGTGGGATCATAGTTAATTGCTTTTCTTCCAATTCCCTGGATTCTTCTTAGGCTCCTATTTTTCCCCATAGACACTACATGCATATAATGCAGACACACGGGCAGACAAAGCACTAATACACATAAAATTTAAAAAGAAAAATATCACCGGGAGTTGGTGGCGCACGCCTTTAATCCCAGCACTCGGGAGGCAAAGGCAGGCGGATCTCTGTGAGTTCGAGATCAGCCTGGACTACCAAGGGAGTTCCAGGACAGCCTCCAAAGCCACAGAGAAACCGTCTCGAAAAAAACCAAAAAAAAAAAAAAAAAAAAAGAAAAATATCTTTAAACAAACGAAACCAACAAACAACTGGCCATGGTGGTATTTGACTGTAATGTTAGCAGCATGGAAAAGGTGCAGATAGTAGTAACCTGGAGTCTGCTATCAGCCAGTCTGGCTAATTGGTGAGCTCCACATTCACTGTAAATGTCTCAAAATACGTTATATAGAGTAACAACAGGTTATCCAACATCAACCTCCACAAAATCCCCAAATTACATGTACACACACACTTGACAAGGTGAACTGAAATGGCTTTGAGAAAGTACCTTGGCAGAGGCACTCACCCTACCACCTCTCCTAAGCTTGTTGCTCCCACCCGGGGAATTAAACATAACTCATACTGCCTGGCTATCACAAGACTGTCTTAGTCTCCCTCACTTTTGGACAGAGTCTCATGCAGTCCAGGCCAGGTATTTTTGTTTTTGGGTTTCTGAGGCTTTGGAGGTTGTCCTGGAACTCGCTCTTGTAGACTAGGCTGGTCTCAAACTCACAGAGATCTGCCTGTCTCTGTCTCCCAGTTGCTGGGATTAAACACAAGCGCTACCATCGCAGGGCTAGGCTGGTCTTTAACTATCAACGTAGTTAGTAACTACAACTAACTTCTAGTATTATTGTTTCTACCTCCTAAGTACTGAGATTATAGGCATATGTCACATCAAGTTGTTTTTAATGGGATGCTAAGAATCAAATTAAGGGCTATATGCTTAATAAATAAGCATGCTACAAAGCTATGTTTTCCGATAGCTTCCTCCTCCTCTGCTTTTGAAGTGCTAGGATTAAGCCATAACCTTGGATATATTAGGTGATTATTGCCAAAATATTAAGCTTCCAGGGGCCAGACACCATAGTACACACATGCTTAATCCCAGCACATGTCTAAAAAAAAAAAAAGGGCTGTAGAGATGGCTCAGTAGTTAAGAACACTGGTTGCTCTTCCAGGGGACCTAAGTTCAAATCCCAGCACCCACGTGGTGACTCACAACCTTATCTGTAACTGCAGTTCCAAGGGGACCCAATGCCTTCTTCTGGCCTCTCAGGACACCCGGCACACAAGTGATGCATAAACATAAATGTAGGCAAAAAAAATTAATTCATGACTGGGAGTGTAGCCTAAGATTACTGAGACTACAGATGAAACCAAAGTCTGGCTAATAATAAAATTAAAGGGTTAGGCCTTTCTGCATTAGCAACCTGTAAATAAAACAAAAGCAGTAGATGGTATTCTAGTTGAGACCCAGCCTGTTGTCCTTTTTTGTTTGTTTGGTTTTTTCGAGACAGGGTTTTTCTGTATTGTTTTGGAGGCTGTCCTGGAACTCACTTTGTAGACCAGGATGGCCTCAACACACAGAGATCTACTTGCCTCTGCCTCCAAGTACCAGTATTAAAGGTGTGTGCTGCCACCTCCTGGTCTACTGAAGCATACTTAATTTCTTTTTGAGCCAGGTGGTGACACATACCTTTAGACCCAGTGGTTTGTTATTTTCAAGTTCAAAGCTACCATGGTCAAGACAGCAAGGCTGGGAGGGCGAGAATGGGTAAGGTACCTATCCAGAAGAATACAAGGAAAACGGACACCTCACCCCATTTTTTTTTTTGAGATGGGGTCTTACAGCCCAGACTAGTTTTATACTTTGTAGCACAGGTTAGTTACATTCAAAGCATGCTAGACAAACAAGACCCCTTTACAGAGGTCACCTAAGACCACTGGAAAAGACAGATATTTTTATCATGATTCAGAAAGTGAAATTATAGTTATGAAGCAGCAATGAATATAAATTATGGTTTGGGTCTATTAAAGGGTCAAAGTATTAGGTTGACAGCCACTCACTGATCTATGTGGTAACATTATCAAGAATGACATTCTGCCGGGCGTTGGTGGCGCACGCCTTTAATCCCAGCACTCGGGAGGCAGAGGCAGGCGGATCTCTGTGAGTTCGAGACCAGCCTGGTCTACAAAGTGAGTTCCAGGACAGCCTCCAAAGCCACAGAGAAACCCTGTCTCGAAAAACCAAAAAAAAAAAAAAAAAAAAAAGAATGACATTCTAGGGGCTGCAGAGATGGCTCAGAGGTTAAGAGCACTGGCTGCTCTTCCAGGGGTCCTGAGTTCAATTCCCAGCAACCACATGGTGGATCACAGCCATTTACAATTCAATCTGTCTGGTGCCCTCTTCAGGCATGTAGGCAGAACACTGTATATGTAATAAATAAATCTTAATGACATTCTAAGCCAGGCAGTGGTGACACATGTCTTTAGTCCCAGCTCTTGAGAGGCACAGGCAGGCGGATCTCTGTGAGTTCCAGGCCAGCCTGGTCTACAATAGCTAGTTCCTGGACAGCCTCCAAAGCCACAGAGAAACCCTGTCTTGAAAAACCAGAAAGAAAAGAATGACATTCTAGAATTTGCAGACAGGCAACTAGCACTCTGGGTAAGCAAGCATGAGACAGTTTGGTATGATGGCAAACACTAGGGGGACAGGTAGAGAGTAAGATGGAAGTCAGCCAACAAGTCTTTAATATCAGCACTTGAGATCTTGGGAGGCAGAAGTAGGTGAATCTCTGGAGTTTCAGGCCAGCCGGGTCTACAGACCAAGTTCGAGGACAATCAGGACCACACTGAGACCCTGTCTTGTCAGGGGGAGGGAGGATATCGACAAAAAATAACATTTACAAAAATCTCAGAAGTTCATAAATTCTACTGCACTATGAAAATTGACATTTATGACGTATTTTACCTGTAATGAGGTTCTGAAGATAAGAGTACTACCAAAGAGGAACGAACGCGCTATTAGACACTGGAAAATTACTGGGGGGAGGGGGTACCAGTGAACCTCATTTATTCGTGTGTTCCAAAAATTACTGATTGGAGTTATGCAGGGGTGGGGGGTGGTGTGTATGTGTGTGTGTGTGTGTGTGTGTAGTGCCGGCTTGTGCCTGAGACTTGCAAACCGTAGACAGCAACCAACATTCAACTCCTGACGTTAGCGACTCGGGTCGCTGCTGCTGCTGCTGCTGCTGCTGCTCCCAGACTCGTTCCATCTTGACAGGGGGGGGGGGGCGCGTTGAGAGCTTTCCAGTGAATGCGGCATGACGACAGACACGGGAAAGACAACCGTCGGGCGGCAGCAGTCCGCACGACGGAAGACCTTTGGCCTCCGCCCGGGATGCTGCCCTCTCCGTCCAGGCCTGAGGCTGCCAGCTGTCAGACACACAAGGCCCAACGGGCAGACAGGCGGCCGCCATCTCTCCTCGGGTTGACCGGGGAAGGGGAGGGGCGGGGGCTGACGCTCCTGTGACCACGAACGTTTCGGTTCTGAGATCGACTTGACTATTACAATGCTTACCCTACCCACGCGCTACGCGCGCGGGGCTCCCGCAGAGGGGGGTCGGAAGGCCTGGAGGCCCGGCGTGGCCCGAACTCCGAAGGCCCTGTCATGGTTGGGGTCGGGGGAGGAAAGGGAGGGGGGGTCCGGACGAGAATCTGCGGGAAGAAAGGAGGGAGGGGCGGGAGGCAGGTAGAGTCTACACTACCTGAGGATGTTGTGTGCTTCCATGCTCCGATTCTGGTTACTGGAGCACACGACCGCCACCCGCAGCGGCGACGACGGCATGGCACCGGCCGACAGCGCTCCCCACGGCACTCTAGCTCCGGAGCTCCCACCAAGCAGCCGGCTTCCGCCCGAGGAAGATGGCGGCAACCGGAAACCAGCAACCCGGAAGTGAGGGCGACGTAATGCGTGGGGAGGTCGGCACGGCTCTCCGGGGGGCCCGCGCAGCAATCCGCACGGAAGAGCGACCGGCCCACACTGCGTCAGTTTGAGCAGAGAGCGACTAAAGTTGGTGCTCGTGGACCACCTAGGCCCGCGTCTGACGTCACAGCATCTGCGCCGGCAGAGTTTGCGACTCGCCAGCGTCCGAGACGTCGTAAACTGCTCGTCGCCGTTGATGACGCGCCGTGGGCGGCGCTTGCGCAATATTGGGAACTGCTGGGCGGGGTGGGGGCGGGCGGGGTGGTCGCTGGAGACGTTTGTGGCCGGTTTCTTTGGGTTCTGTTTTGCGATGTCTCTCAATCCTGATTCCTCCAGGTAGCCAGTTCGCCAATTTCGGAAACGCACCTATGTTCCAGCACTTTGTTTATGCCCCATCTCTAACGAGTATCTCTTCCTCAAGATCACAGAACTTCTGGAAGTACGTCATTTCCCTTGGAGAGTCCTTTAAAGTTTTGACATTTAAGTGGTAATGACAGTATGGGTGACACAACAGACTCAAAGTAGAAAGAGGGCTGAGCCGGGTGGCTCGCACGTTTAACCCCAATAAAGTGATCAAGAAAAGAAGGGATGGGACTGTAGGAAGGTTATTACATGGGTGGTTTGGAGATTTTTGAGAAAGCCACAGAAAAACCCTGCCTCGGGAAAAAAGAAAGAAAGAAAAGTCGTTAATGGGGGTTAGAGAGATGGCTCAGAGGTTAAGAGCACTGGCTACTCCTCCAGAGGTCAGTCCCAGCAACCAGATGGTGACTCACATGCTTTTTTTTTTTTTTTTTTTTTTTTTTTTTTTGGTTTTTCGAGACAGGGTTTCTCTGTAGCTTTGGAGGCTGTCCTGGAACTTGCTCTGTAGACCAGGCTGGCCTCGAACTCCCAGAGATCCGCCTGCCTCTGCCTCCTGAGTGCTGGGATTAAAGGTGTGTGCCACCAACGCCCTGCCATCCCGAGAACTCTTCATGTGAAGTGCTCTTAATGTGAAGTGTCCTTCTTTCTCACAGGGGTCTGCAGGGATGCAGCTTGGAGAAGGCTATGACTTCCTGTCCTGTCAGAATGGGACAAAAGAGAGGCCAGGAATGGCAATGACTTGCCATAGAATCAGAACTGTGAATGCTGACAGCCACTGGAAAAAGACATGATGTGAACAATGAATACAGAATGTAACTCCTGCTCCAAAGGAACTAAGAGAGAATTTATTCTGAGACAGATACAAATGATCACAGCCTGAGCATGGATTCAGATTGCCATAATAGGCATATTCATTCTACCATGGGAGAGGTTTCATGAACTTATATAGCCACAGAACAAAGGAAAACCATAAACTGGTGAATTTATTCATATATCAATAGAAACATCAGATAGACAGGTTACATCAAAGCCAGAAAATCTATAGGTTTCAGATACTGATATGTTTTTAGCTATGAAATTAGTGGAAGTTATTTATCTGCTAGGTTTGTAATATACCAAAAGGGTTACCCTAATAGTTGAAGAAGTTAGGTTATATCCGAAGCTGGTAACTAATAGCTACTAAAGGAGCTAAAGCCAGGTGTGGCTTATGCCCGTAATCCCACCACTTGGGACAGTACAGCCATAGGATCATGAGTTCTTGAGTTCCCACTCAGTCCAGGTTACTACTGAGTGAAAGCCTGATTCAAAAGAGAGAAGGGGCGAAAATAATATAATTTTTACCCCCAATCTGCAGTGTTCCATCTTTCTTTAGTCACAGTGTTTTAATCAGGCAATCAGTCTGCAGGATCTTCAACACAGATACGACTTTTTTTCAGGGAACCTCACATCACAGAACTGTAGATTTCACTAGAATGTACCAATTATCTCCAGAAAGAAATAGAAACAATAACATGGATTTTGCCTGTGTCTTAATATCTGTGACAATAGATATGTAGGTATGAGTGAAAAAACAGACCTTAACTTTGTTGAAGAGGAAGAAACTCAGAAGCCTAGTTTTTAGGGGCACCATCCTCACTGATAGTGAAGTCTGAGAAGAAAAATGTTGAGAATCTGTTAGGAGATAAGCACACTAGAGACAAACATACAGACACTCTTAGAGCCAAAACCAAAGTTTTTATTGTTGCCCAGTGGCTTCATGGAGAACTTTCTCAAATCATGTAGCTTTGACCCTTACAGTTCTTTGTCCTTTATGTACAAAAAAAAAAATATATTGGTTGGCACATTTCAGTTATCAAGGAGCAGAGCTACAGAAACCAAAAAGCAAGATTAGCATATTTAGAGGGGACTTTCCTAGAACTATGGACTATGTCTTTGTTTCCATTTTGGCAGGTGTTTGGGGCCTATATGCTGGGTTTTAAGGGCAGAATGGTGTCTCTAACATGGCATTAGTCAGTGATAAAGTCTGGGGGCATATTAAAAGCCAGGTGCTAAAAATCCTTAAGGGACCCTATGACATGGTCAAGGGAAATATAAAGAAGCATGTGAAATAAATACATAAAAAAGAAGCATGTGAGGTGCTTCCTGTTACTATAATCTGCATATTTTAGAATTACAAGGTCTCATGTAGTTCAGGCTAACATTAAAGTTGATATATACCTGATCATTACCTTGAACTCCTGACCCTCTCCCACACAGCACCAGTGTTGTGTGTGTCTCTCTCTCTCCCTCCCTCCCTCCCTCCCTCCCTCCCTCCGTCCCTCCCTCCCTCCCTCCCTCCCTCCGTCCCTCCCTCCCTCTCTCTCTCTCTCTCTCTCCTCCACCTGGAACTTGCTCTGAATACCATGCTGGCCTCAAACTCAGTAACCCAACTGCTGTGCTTTCCAAGTGCTGGGATTAAAGGCATATAAAAGCATATGCCGCCAGGCGTTGGTGGTGCACGCCTTAAATCCCAGGAATTGGGAGGCAGAGGCAGGCAGATCTCTGTGAGTTCGAGGCCAGCCTACAGAGTGTACAGAGTGAGTTTCAGGACAGCCTCCAAAACAATACAGAGAAACACTGTCTCAAAAAACCAGGGAAAAAAAGTCATATGCCACCATGCCCAGCCAGTGTTATTAACAAGCTGCTTTTCATTATTAGGACGTACCATATTTTGTTCAATCACCTGCAGATGGGTATTTGATCTGTTTCTAGTCTAGGGCTATTGCAGATACCTCATGTATGTGTGAACAATATGTACAAATACTTTGCATTTTCCCTGAGTTAGTACCTGCAGGTTTCTGTTTTCTTTTTTTTACTTCTGAGTGTTTGTGGCAGGGTCTCACTGTGCAGCCCAAGCTAGCTTCAAATTTGTAATTCTCCTGCCTCAGCCTCCTGAGTGCTGGAATTACAATCATGTGCCACCATGCCCAGGCTGTGTGGGTATGAAAATTCTTCACATTTGGGTTAAGAAAATGTCAAGAGGCCAGGCATCATGTCACACACCTTTAGTCTCAGCATTCTGGAGGCAGAGGCAGGGGGAATCTCTGTCAGTTCTAGGCCAGCCTAGTCTATATAGCAAATTCCAGCACAGCTCCAACTTCATAGTGAGATCTTGTCTCAAAAAAAAAAAAAAAAAAAAAAAAAAAAGAGGAAGACTTCTGAGGGATTGGGGACAGAGCTTCAGTAGTAAGAAGAACTAATTGGCCAAGATATACAAGGATCTGAGTTCAATCCCTAGCATAAACAGGGTCTTACTCTGTGATTGTGACTGGTCAAAGCAATCCTCTAGATTCAGTCTGCTAAATGATGAAATTATGTGAATATACCACGTTTGGTAAAGGCAGAAATTTAATGTTTTTTTTACATTCCTTTATTTTGTGTGTGTCCACATGGACCATGGACATGTAGAGGTCTGACAACAACCTCCAGAAGTTGGTGCACTCCCTCTACTGTGTGAGTCCTAGGAATCAAATTCAGACCATCAGGCTTGACGGGGGTCCTTTGCCTGGTAAGCCAACTCGCCAACCTGCGGTCTGGTATTTGAAATAGTCTCAAATTGCCAAGGCTTGGCCTTGAATTTCTAATCCTCCTGTCTCCACATTCCAGCTACTGGGATTATGGGTTTGAACCACCATACCTAGATTAAAAATTTTAACTTTTAAAGTTTATCAATTTATTCTTTTATGGTACATACTATGGTGTCCAATAGAAAAACATGATGGATATGATTTTTGTTGTTGTTGCTGTTTGAGATAGGGTTTCTCTGCATAACAGCTTTAATCTCAGAAGTAGGGAGGCACAGGCAGCAGATCTCTAGGAGTTCAAGGCCAGCCTAGACTACAAAGCAAGCCTCAAGGCAGTCAGGGCTCTACACTGAAACCCTGTCTCAAAAGCAAAAATTTCCTCAGTCACACTAGCCACGTGCAAGTGCTCAAGATCCACAATGACTAGTAGGGTTCACATGTCCTAAGCCCTGGTAACAATGAATGAGTTCTTTTGGTAACTTCTGTGTAACTCAGCACATGGAGGTTCTAGAAGAAACTGTTCATCCCTTGAAACCTTGGTACTCCCTTCATGGGAGTTGAGTTCATGCAAAGAAAATGGCTATGGATCATTCTGGTAGGCTAAGGTAGTCATATGCTGTGACTAGGTTTTGAATGTAGGCAGAGCAGATGGTTTTGTTTTGGGTAGAAGTGTAAGATGTCCCTGGGGATCATACTAGGAATTTCAAGAAGTATCACACACACACTTGAACAGAGTTGGGCTAGAACACAGCATCATAGCCGTGGGGAACCTGGACACTAAATGGCTACATTTCTTTTCATATGGCTGGTCTGTAAATTGGGTTTTTTTCCCCAGCCTTTATCTCAATATAGCTGAGGACTTTGAACCTTTTATTTTGTTTTTTTTTTTAAAGTGTTTCTTTGTATAACAGCCCTGGCCTTCCTGGAACTTACTTTGTAGCTCAGGCTGGTCACAAAGTCATAGAATCTCTCGCCTCTGCCTTCTGAGTTCTAGGATCAAAGGTGTGCACCACAATGCCCCTCTGACTTTGAATTTCTTATCCTTCCACTCTCCACGTTCTGAGTGCTTGGGTTACACATGTCTACCACGATTCTCAATTTATACAGTGCTGGAGACTGAACCCAGTACCCTTTAAATGCTAGGAAAGCATTCTAACAACCGAGCTACAGCTGAGTCCTGCTGAGGGCCTGAGGATGTCTCATAAAACTTTAGCATCCAAAAAGACACATGGTCCTAACTCTGGAGAATCAGACTGTGCCTAGGGAGCTAGAAGCTGGACACTAAGGTACTTCAGAAAGGGCATTTCCAGAGTGCCAACTCCTGTCCATGCTGCCTGAAGACACCAGAATAAATCTCATGTACAGCCTAGATCCCCTGGAACAGCAAGGGAAGGCAGCTGGACTGTAAACTCCTCCCATTTCTGCCCGGGCTGTCTAGACAACTTGCTATGTCCTCCACCCCTCAGATGAATCTAAGCACATCACTAACCCCCCCCCCCAGCTTTTCTCCCACCCCCTCCAGATGAGTCACTCATCAGAGCTGGCTCATCCCTGTCTTGCGCTGTTGCCTTCTTCAGGGTCATAGGAGCATAAGAGCCCCAAGGACATTCCAGGTGGGGAGAGTGAGTGGCCCACACGGTAGCCCCAGATTCACTTTATGCCAAATCCTACTCCCAAATCTTAACACTGCAGAGGGTAGCCCCAGGCAGGGGGGAGGGTACCCTCTCCTAGAGCTGTATAACTGTTGCTTGTGACAGTTCAAATGGGCCATCGTTGTATGCTGAGCCTATTTCTGGCCACTGACAGTACCACCTCCCCACCCACCACCCACCCAACATGGCCGGCCTAGGAAGGGATGCTTTCCCAAGGTCTGAGGGTGGACAAGTGAGCCATGGACACCCTGCCGGTCCTTCTGCCACACTGTAAAGTCAGCATTCCTGTGAACACTGCCTGGGGCTGATCCCCATCCCATGCCCACCGGGAGAAAAAGTTCAAGGCCAGCCACTGGATTAATGCTTGAGGCCCTTGGTGGAACTGAATTCACCTTCCCTCACCCACAACCTTCCCTCCAACATCCCAAATAAACACACAAGACAGTATTTTTTTGGTCTGAGAGTGATGGACATTTAGATGTTGGCAACTCTCTGGTGCCTCACAGGGAGAGGGCAGAGCAAAGACAGAGAGGTAGGGCACAAGTGCTACCAGCTAGGGCTCAGGTCATCATGGTCGCTGGGGTGAGAGTTGGGAGGGCAAATAGCCAGAGTTCAAGTCCAGTGGTCAGAGCCCAGGCTCAGAGGCCTGGGAAATGCCTTATTCTTTCCCAGTGCCCAATATCACCAGATGGCTGGGTGACCTCAGCCAGGTGCCCACGTCTGCCAGGAGGTAGGCAAGGCCAACCCTCTGCCCGTGCAGATGGGAGGGGCTACACATCACTGGAGTCAGAGCTCAGGCTCTCTACCCTCTAGTGTAAGAAGGACGTGGGGTAGGTAGTGAAGTGGCCCCGTGGCCACTGAGGTCTCAAGTTGGTTGAGGCTTGGGATCCATATCACAGATAAGGGTCTGGCTGGAGGAACGAGGCTGGCAGCTTTCCTTCAGCTCTCATGATCCCTTGAGCTGTCCTCCCAACACCCCTTCCCCTCCCCCTCCCCGGAGCACACACCGGGAAAGTCCTAATCAAGGCAGTACAAGCGAAAGGCAAGGGTGAATCCCCAGCCTCCTAAGGTGGAGGGCACTCACCCCCGGATGCAGCAGCTGGACACTGGGTCCAGCCTGCTGGGCTACATCATGGCTCTTGGCTTCTTGGACACCCACATAGGAAGACAAAACAGGGCCTGCGAACCTCTGCCCCTGGGTCCTGAAAATCTCGAGGATGGTTGTGTCCTGAGTGGGACTCTGGACAGAAAGAAGCATGCATAAGCCAGCCAGTACACTGGGCCGACAAATCCCCATGGACAGCTGGAGGATGATGGGTGGCTCCTGCAGTGGGCCAGAGAAACTAAGGCACAAAGCTAACCTAAGCCCACTGGGTAAGGTGGGGTGGGTACAGGATCCAGAGGTCACTCCTCCCCATCTGCAAAACACAAAGTGACCAAGCAACGATCACGCCCAAGCTCTGACAACCTAGGACAGGACGAAAGTTCAGGTTGATGATCCTGGGTGCCAGTGGCTCTTGACAGAGGAACTGTAAATTCTGGCCGGCCCTACAAGGCTTCTAGAGATAGGGAAGACCCCCGGGCGCGGCTGACACTCTAGCTTGGGGCCCATGGCCAGTCTGAGGCCTGAGTCTGGAAGGCAGATACCCAGCTGGGGCTGGCAAGGTCGTGGGATGATGACAAGGTCCCTGCACGGGCTAGTCTCCGTTAGGCCCTCCATGAGCATCGCAAAGAGGGAGAGGTAAGCAGGGAAAGGGCCTAGGGTCTTAGCACATTTGGGCAGGTGGAACCCAGGTGGGCGGGTCGCCTTGCGCTTCAGGACTGCCTGCGACGGCTGGGTCGCCGGAAGGTCGGGTGCATGAGGTTCTCGGTGATGTAGGCCACCAGCAGGCAGATGACCACCAACATGACACAGATGGAGCCGCCCACCGCCGTCATGGCCACCACGATCTCCTGCATAGCTGCCGGTTCGGCGGTGAACTCCACGCACTCGGCGAGCTCTAGCTGGGCGGCGGCGAGCTCGGCGCGTAGCGGCAGCGGCTGCAGGCACAAGCGGTAATGCACGCTATCGTGCACATCGGGCAGCAGGTAGTCGCGGCAGGAGGCGCCCAACAGCACGCGATCGCACGGGAAGCGTGTGTAGGTGCCACGCCACGAGCAGTTCAGCGCGAAGACTCGCACGCGGCGCGCCTCGGCTGGAGCCAGGCGCCACTGCAGCAGCACGCTGCGGTTGCGCAGGACGTGGGCGCGCAGCGAACCACCCGCCGAGACCAGCGTCACGCAGCCGGGTGCCTGGCAGCGGAAACCCCGAACGGGGCTGCGAAAGCATAGGCGCCCACCGCCCGCCTCGGGGCCCTCGGACAGCACCTTGTAAGGGCACCAGGGCGCGTCGGAGGCCGGCTCCCAACCCGGCGGCGTCGGGGTCACAGATGCGCCTGAGGGCGGGGCGCAGGCGGCCAGCAGCAGCAGCAGCGGCGGAGCTTGCATTCTGCGGCTGAGCCAGCGCAACGAGGCGCGGGCTCGGGGGCGCACCAGGCGCGGCGGAGGGTCACGCGGGCCACGCCGCCCCAGCCACTGCCGCGCTTGCCCCTCGCAGGGGCCTCATCCGCCACCGGCTCCAACCCGCCCCACGCAGGGCCCTCATCTGCCACCCGCTCCAACCCGCCCCACGCCCACGTCTAGTGCACGCTCGGACCCAGCGGCAGAGGTGGGGCTGTCCCAGGTCCCGCCCCCTTAACCCTCTCTGGGCCGCATCCCATGGCACAAGAGTCTACCTACCATGGGCAGGTGGTGTGCAGTGACCCTGGGACAGGCCCTTGCCACAATTGATAAGGGCCCTGGATGTACGGTCCCTCTACCCAATCCGGGCCCCTCGTGGCCAGCAAAAGGGTCCTGCACGCTCTGACCCAGGGGATAGGCAAAATGACTGAAATGTAACTTCACCCTGAACTCTTGTCTTTGGAGCCGGTGGCATCTGCTAGGGAGGGAAGTCTGAGACAAGGCTTTGGCTTGCTGAAAATTGATTAACTGCACACCTGAAGAGAAGGTGAAGGTCGGACCGACCTTCTATGTCCCATCGGCTTTCCTTCCCTTCTCCCTCGTGAAGAGGGTCAAGACTGGACAAAGAAAATGCTCACGAAAAGTCCACCCTGAGTCAGGTGGTGCAGGCCTATACAATCCAAGCTGCTTAAGATAGAACCTACCGCTGGGCACGCCTTTAATCCCAGCACTCGGGAGGCAGAGGCAGGCAGATCTTTGTGAGTTCGAGACCAACCTGGTCTACAAGAGCTAGTTCCAGGACAGCCTCCAAAGCCACAGAGAAACCCTGTCTCGAATAAAACCAAGAGAGAGAGACAGAGACACAGACACAGAGAGAGACAGAGACAGAGAGAAAACCTACTAATCACAGCACTTGGGAGGCAGACACAGCCAAATCTCTGTAAATTTGAGAGCAGCCTAGTCTACAGAGAAAGTTCCAGGACATGCTCCAGTTCCACACAGAGAAACTCTGCTTGAAAAACCAAAGAAAGAGAGGGGGCACAGAGAGAGACAGACAGAGGCAGAGAGACTACCTGGGCTACCAAAATGAATTGGCCTGGATAATTGAGTGAGACCCACAAAATGAAAACAAGATAAAAAGAAAAACAAGCATCCCAGAGAGGTTATAGTGGCCTAAACCTGTAATCCCAGTTCTTGAGAGAACAGATCAGGAAGGTCAAGGTCATCCTTGACTACTTATCAAACATAAGACCACTCTCAAAAACACAGAACAACCAAACAGAAACAACTCAACTTGTGCAATGGCTATGCTGCTCCACAGAGGGAAGAAAGGGAACACTCCAGTCCTACTCTTGCACTGGTCAGAGTCAGAGAACACCTGGCTAGGCCTGCCTTGCCCTAATAAGGGGTGAAGCCGGAGCCCCCTAGTGCTGAAAACTCTACTGTTAAGGACAGGGAGGCCAGGAGGGTCTCACCCAAATGTCCTTTGCATTCTGACTCCCTCAAGACACCTTCCAGGTGACCTCAGCTGGGAAAGGATAAAGAGGGCCTAGGTGGGCTGCAGTATTCACAGAACACATGTGTCTGTAGATGATCACATGCTGCCACACACCCACAGAGCCCTTTCCTAGCCATCCTGAAAACGGGGGGGGGAGGGGGGCAGTCTTACCGGCAGGACCGAGCCTGAGGTCAATATCAGAAGCCTCCCACCCAGTCAGTGTATGTCATCACTAACTCAGAGGGGCCCAATCACAACACTAGGCCTCTCCGATTTCTAGGAACCTTGGATAGGGTCTGCTGAGATCTCTGCTCCCAGTTTGAGGACAGAGGTTTTGAGAGATTTATCTGCCCCGCCACCCATTTCTGCCTTCCCCTTAGGCTGGGCAAACTGCAGACTCTTGCCTCATCATTGTAAGAGTGCCCAGGAATTTCTCAAGGAATTAGGAAATAATGGTTACCCCAGGGACCTGCAAGTCATGTCCAAAACTACCCAGACCCCTCATTCAGTTTGCTTGTAGGTATCTGCTGGAAATAAGAACACCTAGAGTCGCCGGGCGTTGGCGGCGCACGTCTTTAATCCCAGCAGAGGCAGGCGGATCTCTGTGAGTTCGAGGCCAGCCTGGTCTACAGAGCGAGTACCAGGACAGCCTCCAAAACTACACAGAGAAACCCTGTCTCGAAAAACCAAAAAAAAAAAAAAAAAAAAAAAAAAAGAACATCTAGAGTCCCTCTTTACCTTGGAGTAGGGTACAGAAAGTGGGTGGGGCAAAAAACGCAATGTGGAATCTTTGGACTAAAGACAGCTGGATGCTCAATCCTAGTTCACACCAGGAATTAGAGTCAGGTGGATGCAGGAAAAGCTGTAATGGTGGTTTGAATAGGAATGCCCCCCCATAGGCTCGTAGATTTGAATGCATGGTCACCAGGGAGTGGCACTATTAAGAGGTGTGGCCTTGTTGAAGGAAGTGTGTCAAAAGCCCAAGCCAGTCCCAGCATTCTCTCCCCAGTGCCCATGGACTCACACGTAGAACTCTCTGCCACATGTCCAGCACCATGTCTACCTGCATGCTGCCATGCATCCCTCCAAACTGATTATGGACGATAAACCTCTGAATCTGTAAGCAAGCCCCTATTAAATGTCTCCTTTTATAAGAGTTGCCACGGCCATGGTGTCTCTTCACAGCAATGGAACACTGACCAAGACAAACTGTCCACCTTGTTACACAATCAGCTGAGTTGAAAAACACAATACCCAGAGCCCTGGCCTAGATCTGACTTCATCCATGCCTCATGCTTGTCCTAGGGCGAGGGCCTTTCCAGCAGGCCAGGGGATCACCAACACTGACCTTTTCCTGGTCAGGGCAGCGCTTGATCTGATTTCCAGATGCTCTCTCTCCTCTGGGTTAGGGCTGGCAATGGGGATGAGGATTTTGTTATATCCTGCCTGGATAGTTCTATCTATCTATGGTATAGGAACAAAGGCAGGGGAAAGTCGATTCTCATGCAAGGTCTGCCAAGCCACAGCAACTTGAGAGAAAGCCGGCAACAGGAGGCCATACTTCCCATCCAAATTTTCTAAGCCAACAGAGCAAAGAAAGGAGAGCCATGCTGTCCCTAGAGACCTCAAGGAGCCCACCACCTTCTCATTCCATGTGGATCCACTCCTATGTCTGGAGCTTGCCCCCCACAATTGAAGTAAGATATTCCCTAGTCCTATGGCAGCACAGTCTTAGGGCTTGGCTCTGTGGAAGCATTGCAGCCCCAACCATGCCACTGGAATCATGCAAAAACAGTGGGAGCTTGGGCCTTATTAAGAGCTATGTTCGCTGGGCGTTGGTGGCGCACGCCTTTAATCCCAGCACTTGGGAGGCAGAGGCAGGCGGATCTCTGTGAGTTCGAGGCCAGCCTGGTCTACAAGAGCTAGTTCCAGGACAGCCTCCAAAGCCACAGAGAAACCCTGTCTCGAAAAACCAAAAAAAAAAAAAAAAAAAAAAAAAGCTATGTTCATACCTCTACACAAGGCTTCCTTGTTACAACTTTCCAGGTCCCTGCTCACAAAACTACCAATCAGCACAAATACCACTCTTCAGAGAGCACAGTGGGGAAGCAGGCTGGAACAGGTGGCTCTTCTTCGGGCTACAGCCAACTTCCCAGGTAACGCTGCTGGAAACTAGGGGTAAAGGAGCCTGTCGCAGGCAGGGTGCCCAGAGAGTAGTACCTCATAGGTTAGGTAGACAGATGGAGGCAGATTAGCACAAAGTGCACAAGTTGAGGCTGAAACACAAGATACTGCGGGATATTGGGTCTATTGTGGGATGTGGAGTGGGAACTGAGTACCCCAGGGTCATTTCCTTTTCTAGTAGCAGTAATTCCATTTCCCTTGGGGGACCCTCTTTCTCAGGCTAGGAGGAGTTTGGGTGAGACTGACCTTTCCCTGCTCTGGGGTTGGCAGGTGACTTGGGCCTGGCCTGCACATTCCAATGTCAGCTTCTGTGGCTATAAAGTTATCTTAAGGCAATAGCTGATCAAAAGGAAACCAAACACAGCAAATGCAAGAAATCTGGCATGTAGGCTTCCTCTAAGCATCTAGATCTAGCCTCAGATGAAGAAAACCCATGTGCTGGACCAATGCCCAGCTTTGTTTTTACATTTTCTTTTCTTTTTTTGGTTTTTTACGAGACAGGGTTTCTCTGTATTATTTTGGAGGCTGTCAGTCCAGCCTAGCCTCGAACTCACAGAGATCCGCCTGCCTCTGCCTCCCGAGTACTGGGATTAAAGGTATGCGCCACCAATACCCAGCTTTGGTTTTCTTAATTACATATATTGTGTGTGCTCATGCATGCCACAGTGTGTGTGTAGAAGTTAGAGAACGTCTTGTGGGAATTGGTTTTCTCCTTCTACCATGTAACTTTCAGGAAATGAATTCAGGTTCTCAGGCTCGGTGGCAAGTCTTTACCTGCTGAGGCTTGAGAGCCTACAGGAGCCAATGTTCTAAGTTCAAAGCAAGCCTGGACTACACAGTAAGACCCTGTCTCAGTTTAAAAAAATTTCTTTAAATTACATGTTACCATTTCAGCAGGAAGTAATTCTAAGAATACAATGCTCCCTTCCCCTACTGTTGGCATTAAGGGATAATTTACACCTGCATAGGGTTGGTTTTTATTTGTTTAGGGTTGGGTATAGAAGGAGATGCTCAGACTCAGGTATCACTTTTAGATAAGTTTAGAGTATGGATGGGAAAGTGGTTAGGATGGGATATAAGTAGATTAACATGCCTTCTTATGAATTACCTTAGTAAATATTAGCTATAGGCAACTTACATTGTTAGAGATTCCCGTGTGATGTAACTTATGTACAATCAAATTTGTATTCCTTTCTCGGATAATTTGTTATTATGTTTTGTCATATTGTGTATGTGTAAGTTATTCTTTCTATTTACGATGCTTTGTGCGCAAATATCCTTATAATATTCTATGTATATATGCTTTTACATATATTTAAGATATTTTGTATATTGATACAATTTAGGATATCTTATCATGTTGATGTAGGGTGAAGCCTTTTCCTTGCCAGCCGCTTTGTTTTTTCAGCACCAGTCACCTGGGCTCTGCCGCGTTGCAGCCCCCAAATAACACACAAGACACTGTATTAATTATGAAGCTGTTGGCCATTTGCTT